ATAAAAGGTACACTTTCAAATTTGAGTATATAAAAAACAAAACAAAACAAAAAAAAGCGCCTCTATTATAGGTGTTTATTATAACACAGACAACACATACAGATATTTTAAACACTTTCAATAGTGTTTTATGAAAATTTAAAGGGTTTTCTTTAAAATCATGCCAAATTTTTGCATTTACACCTCTGCATGTGGGTTTGGGAAGCTTTTAAATTAGGGCAGGCAAAATCCAGATGGAAATCCTAAAATGGCAGCAGAGATTAACTGCAATAGTTTTAATCACGGTGCACTTTCAGATTGAACGCTCAGCTGGATGTGCTCATTCACTCAGAGCTGTGATACACACTGCATGAAGCTCGTTCCCAAAACCACCCAATATAAGTGCTAAAACAGCAGCCTGATTGGTTTGACACTAGGGAGATGCAGAATCTGTGGGTGATTTCTCCTTTAGAGCTGTAAAGTTCAGACTCAAACACTCACAACTGTGTGTTGTGTGATTCTGTAGTGTGTGCTGATGCTCATTATCCTGCGGCTCTTTCTCATGTCTGCGGGTGGAATCAGAGCGTGCAGCTCCTCTCACGCTGGGTGTGTGTGTGTGTGTGTGTGACCCGCTCACAGCTCCAGCCGACCCAGAGCTCGCCTCGACCGCATGAATCACACCCCATGAGAGTCACATCACTGCCGCGCCACTGCACCTGCAGACCACACCAACACTGCTGCACACACACTGCTGGGGGCTTCAGCTCATGCACACATGCATCACACACACACATGCACACAAACATACATCACACTCACACATATACTATACGCATTTTCATGGGCCTACATGCACACGTGCACACATACACACAGATGCTCATGCTCATGCACAGACACATACACACACATAATACACGTATTTACACACACACAAAAATACTTATGCACACACACATACACAGACATACACACACAAATACACATGCACACGTACACACACACACACACACATACTCAAAGACATAGACAAATATACACATGCACACACACACATATATACACACACATGCAGGTGCACACATATACACACTTATTCACATGCACGCACACATAAACACACATATACAAACACGAAAACATAGATACATGCATATCCACATGCACATACCCCCATATACACACGCACACATAGATACATACATACATACACACACACACACACACACACACATACACCTACAGTACACACACACACATACATGCATGCACACATAGATACACACATATACACACACACATGCACACATAGATACATAGATACATACACACACACACATGCACACATAGATACATACATACCTACATACACACACACAGATAGACCTACACACACATGCGCAGAAATACACGCTTATACACACATGCACGCACACACACGCATATAAACATACACACACACATGCACACATAGATACATACATACACACACACATGCACACATAGATACATACATACCTACATACACACACACAGATAGACCTACACACACATGCGCAGAAATACACACATAAACTAACATGCACACACACACACACACACACCAAACACACACAAGTATTGGACATGACTAAATATATTCTTTGTTATTATTTAGTTATTTACATGTGTTGTTATTTATTTAGGGTTACCCTGTGGCTCAGTCGTTAGCACTGTTGCCTCACAGCAAGAAGGTCTCTGGTTTGAGTCCCGGCTGGGTCAGTTGGCATTCCTGTGTGGAGTTTGCATGTTCTCCCGTGTTGGCGTGGGTTTCCTCCGGGTGCTCAGGTTTTCCCTACAGTCTAAACACATGCGCTATAGGGGAACTGATGCTATGACTAAATGGACCGTAGTGAATGTGTGTGTGTGTGTGTGTGTGTGTGTGTGAATGTGAGTGTGTGTGATCTTTTGAACTCAGTGTGTAGTGTATCTTTTGGTTTGTAGACATGTTGTGGTTTCTCCTTTACTGTGCATTTGTGTGATTTATTCCCCACTTGTTTCATGATTCAGCAGGTGTAAAATGTGTGTGTGTGTGTGTGTGTGTGTGTGTCTCAGCTCTTGATGTGATCTCAGTAATGGCAGTAAGTCTTGTAATCGGCTTAAGTTGTTCGCTGAGTTGTTTTCGGAGGCGGTCGCGGCCTGAGGTGAGTCCCCCATCACCTGACGCGTCGGTGCCTTTTGTCATGCGCTGCTTTTCCTCTTGTGTGTGTTTTCACTGCTGCTTTGTGCTCTTCATCCATCCCATAATGAGCTGTCAGTCAAACACCTGCAGGGGGAAATGCTGAAGCCGCTCGGCAGGAGCTCACTTTACAGCCCTTGTGGAGCCACAACACATGCTGAGGAGTTGGCTTTTATATTTAGGATTTCAGGCATCATTCATGGCATTTACTACATTATTTTAAAGCTGCAGCAGGGGATTGTCTTCAGAAACGTGTGTTGTTGTGCTGGTTAAAAGTCTCTTCACATTCCAATAGTACTGATTGAAGTAAATGATCTAAATGTGTGTATATGCTTCAGTGTTCTCCGTGGGTTTTATTGTAATGTAATGTGTATTTATATGGTGCATTTATCCTGTATGGTCTTGCACCCAAAGCGCTTCACAATCATGGGGGGGGGGGGTTTCCACACCACCACTAGTGTGCAGCATCCACTTGGATGATGTGACGGCAGCCACAGGACAAAGGCGCCTTTGTGCTCACCACAACCCAGCTATAGGTGGAGCAGAGAAACACTAGCTATGTTTCCATCCACCTATTTTATGAGCATTTTGCATATGCGCATAAAAAACCAGTTGATGGAAACGCCATGGTGCGCATACATTTTTAAAATGCGCATAAAAAACGTATTCGCCTAACTGGGTAGGATAAACTTTTTATTCGATAAGAAAAGATGCGCATAAACTGCGATGGAAACACTTTTACCGCACAAACTCCAGCATGCGCATTAATAAAGGTCATGTGATTTTGTTAAAAGAGATCATGTGATGCTTAAAATGTGTGTGAATGGATAAAACGTCAGGCTGGGCACATTATAAAACATCTGAAATGTTGTTTTGGTCATTATAAAACGCCTTACCATTTAGTATTAATGTTATTATATTATTAATGACCTCTAGAATCAAGAGCGCCTGTGCTCCGCGTCTGACACCTTCAAACGCCGCTGCGCGCTCACTGCAGGTCAGGATTGTCTTCTGAGGCGCTTTCATTTAGAAAAGATTGATGCAGCTTCTCCTACTGCAGCAAATGCAGTTTTTACTGTTAATATTTGGAGCCAGTTAATCAGGAAGTGACGATTTTGTTCGCTTTGACTCGTTGGATGGAAACGCTGCTTCATTGGCAAAACTTTTACGCGATAATCCAGTTTTGCGCATAAAGTTTATTCGCATTTTTGGATGGAAACTTAGCTAGTGATAGAGCCCATTCGGGGGATAGGGATGATTGAGAGGCCATGATACTCCTTACACATTACGAGAAGTGCCATGGGATTATTAATGAGCACAGAGAGTCTGGACCTGGGTTTAACGTCTCATCTGAAAGACGATGCTCACTGACAGTATAGTGTACTTCACTGTACTGGGGCATAAGGACTCAAACAGACCACGGGTTGAGCGTCCCCCGTCTTTAACACCACTTCCCACAGCAACCTAGTTTTTCCCAAGTGGTCCCCCTATAAGATTATTCTGCCTCTGGAAAGCTCAGATGATGATGTCGAGGTTTTGGAAGTTTCTGGTTGGCTAATTGACAACATTTGAGTTAATGTGAGGCACAACTGTAGAATAGTGTTGAAGGAAAAGCTCAAACACACTGCTTCCTTGTGTGACAACATGGAGAATCAACAAGCCAGAATCAACAACAAAGCCAGATTACAGTTTGCTGAATGACACTGGGGAAAGACTCATGTTTGGAGACATGTCCTGTGCTCTGATGGAGCTAAGATTAAACTGTTTGGCTGTAATGAGCAGTGTTACATTTGGAGGACAAAGAGGAAAGCTTACAAGCCTAGGAAGACCATCCCAACTGTGCAGTATGGGGGCGGCAGCATCATGTTGTGGGGCTGTTTTGCTGCAGGAGGGACTGGTCCACTTCACAGCATAGATGGCATCATGAAGACAGAACATTATGGAGAAATACTGAAGCAACATCTCAACACATCAGCCAGGACATTAAACTTGGCCTCAAATGGGTCTTCCAGACAGACCATGACCCTAAGCATACTGCCAAATAAGTTCAAATGTGCTTTAAGTTCAACAGAGTGAATGTTTTGGAGTGGCCATCACAAAGCCCTGATCTCAATCCTATAGAGAATGTGTGGGCAGAGTTGAAGAAGCTTGTGCGAGCAGGACAGCCTACAAATCTGACTCAGTTACACCAATTCTGTCAGGAGGAATGGGCCACAATTCCTGCAAACTATTGTGAGAAGCTTGTGGGAGGAAACCCAAAACATTTGACTGAAGTTATACAGTTTAAAAGCAAAGCTAATAAAATACCAAGGAAATGTGTGTAAACTTCTGACTGTCTAGAAATTAATAAAAAATTTCTCTCATTATTCTGGCATTTAGCAAATGTAAATCATTTAGCTGATCCTAACAGACCTAAAATAGTAAACGTGTAGTCTCATTTACCAGTATCATGTTCCTTATTTAGAGTGTATGTAAACTTCTGCTTTCAACTGTATTATTACACAACTCTTCTAACTTGTAATGCGTCTGCCCCAACACTGCACACACACTCAAACATCTCTCTCCTGCTCTTTAAGTTGTGTAAAGTGAGACAGGCTAAGTGAATGTTTGGTCATCACATGACTGTGGGCTCCCGGAGGCCCGCTGAGCGCTGCGGGCTGTTTTCGGGGGTCTCCTGTGTGTGTGTGTGTGTGATGGTCTGCTGGGGTCCACTGCTGCTTTATTGTGTCTCCACGAGGTGTCCATGAGCGCAGGGGCCGTCCCTCACACACACACACCCTCCTCTCTCTTCTGTTCATCCCAGGCTGCCGTCAGTGTGGAGTAGCTGTGGAGCAGTGTGTGTGTGTGTGAGAGTGTTTCCATGCCCCGGTGGTGCGGGCGGCCGGCTCCAGTCTCAGGGATGGAGCTCCGGGTACGGACGGGAAACGAAAAGTTCTGGACGTTGATTCTGCTGGGCGTCTTGTGGATTTATTCGTCCGCTCACGGTGAGTGTTGATATACTGTTTTCTGTGCGATCTGTGTGTGTGTGTGTGTGATCCCCCGTTACGCTGCAGGTTTCGAATATTTGGCGGACGGGTGGAAGATATACAGCTGAAGTCAGAATTATTCACCCTCATGTGGATTTTTCTTTGTCAAATATTTCCCAAATGATGTTGAACAGATTCAGGAATTGTTCACAGTGTTTCCTCTAATATTTGTTCTTCTGGAGAAAGTCTTATTTGTTTTATTTCGGCTAGAATAAAAGCAGTTTTTAATAGCTTTAAAACCATTTTAAGGTCAATATTATTAGCCCTCTTAAGCAATATTAATTTTGGATTGTTTCCAGAACAAACCACTGTTATACAATGACTTGCCTAATTACCCTAACTTATAAGTGATTCCCCGTACTGGGTTGGAACTGGAAGGGCATCCACTGTGTAAAACACATCCTAAAATAGTTGGTGGTTCATTCCACTGTGGCGACCCCTAATAATTAAAGGGGCTGAGCTGAAGGAAAGGAATGATTAGAAATGTGTGGAAAAAAATCTATCTGTTAAACAGAAATTGTGGAGTAAAATGTACGGGGGGTGAATAATTCAGGAAGGTAATTCTGACAGCTGTACAACTTTGTGTTTGGCAAATATTTAGCAGAAACAAGCGCAAATATATTCAGTTCCTAACATGCATGTGCTGAACAAACTATCTGTGGATGTTTCATGCTGGATTTATATAATAGATGTTGAAGCGAGGATGATTTATTTTAAGGAGATATTGCATTTCTTAATCATTCGCATTCTGGTACACTTTAAGTCGTTTTATGCATAAATGCGTCACACTTTACAATGCGGTTGCATTAGTTATAGTATTTGCTTACATGTTTACTAACATTTACTATATTTTAAGTCATTCTAAAGTGTAAAAAAATACACTTAATGAACAGTTTCCATAGTTAGGTGTGTTTTGGGTTTATTTGTGGTTGTTGGTTGCATTATGGGATGTCGATCTCTGCTCTGTCCTCTTCTGATGCTTAAAATTCAACTCTACAGTTTAACAAAGTGACTTTTAGTGACAGTTTGGTGAATAATATAATGTATAAGAAATTATTTATAGAGGAATAAGTGTGTAAAATAACAGGAAATGTGCTGCAGTTTATTACAAGGTTTCTGTAGTGTAATATACAGCACCAACACAGACAATATAGACCTTTATACTATTAAAAATGTTAATAAAAGTCTCTTTATTACACTTTTCATTGTTAAAAGTTGTTGTAGGAGAGATCAAGCTCCCATAATGCAGTTCAAAAGAAGAAATAAACAGGTAAAAAGAAAAACTTGAATCCTAGAATATGGAAAGCTGCTCATTTGAGAGAAGAGTTTGTCATGTTTAGTGCATGTCAGATTAATGTTGTAGTTCTTTAAGCGTGGATGATTTATTTTAAGGAGATGATATTGTGGGGGGGTTATCTTTACATTACAAGTTAAGTTGTTTTATGCATAAATGCTTCACACTTTACAATACAGCTGCATTAGGTGATGTATATTTAATAATAATGTTCTAATACATTTTAAGTCATTTTTTTCCCTGTCAATGAACCGTTTCTGTATTTTAAGTGTGTGTTTTGGGTTTATTTGCGGTTGTGAATTGCATTATGGGATGTTGATCTCTGCTTTGTCCATGTTTGATATTGAAAATTCAACATTACAGTTTAACAAAGTGGCTTTTAGTGACATTTTAGTGGGTTGAAATAATATCTAGAGAAACAAGAGTGTAAAACAGCAGAAAATGTGCTGCAGTTTATTACAAGGTTTCTGCAGCGTAATATACAACACCAACACACACAATACAGCACTGCAGACTATTAAACATGACAATAAAAGTCTTTTTTTTAACACTTTTCAATCCCATAATGCATTTCAAAAGCAAAAAAACAGGGGAGTTTTGTGTGGATTGTCTTGTGATGAATGGGATATATGCACAGAAATCTCCGCTGAAAGATTGATGTGGCTATTTTCAGCTTCATAAGGTCCTTTTACAGCATTAATAATGTAGATTTTTATTCAGTTTAACAGCAGAACATTAGTAAACAGCACAATTCAATTCCACCTAGGCTGCTTTACTGAGCTGAAGTTGTTTTCATATTCACATTGGGTCATTTCTGAACAATGACAGCCCGTGACACGCTCACTATTGTTCACCGCTACTCTAAATATTCACTCTGAAACAGCATGTAAATATGGCTTAGTGATAAGTGTAATTCCTGCAGTTTTACGTTGGGAACTGTGGTATTATAAAGTACTGTAAATTTTCTAACTGCATGACATGATTTAGTGGGTTGTCTGCTGTCATCTTTACGCCCCATTCACACGGGGCGTCAGCGTCAACGCTTCACATTCACTTTGAATGGGTGACGCCAGGCATTGCTGAACTGCATTGTGGATCCGTCGGCGCCGCTTCAGAGGCGTTGCTCGCTGCAGAAGTTGGGACTAGCTCAAATTTTCAAGCGCCGACGGAAGCGTCAGCCAATCAGATCGCTGTATGCAAATACACCAGCTAGACAGTGGCCTATTGCTGACTGAATTTCATTGGCTGACGCTGCTATGACGATCGCTTCAGCCCCAACTTCAGACACGCCTTCAGTCAAGCGTTGACGCTGAAGCCCCGTGTGAATGAGGCGTTAAGGTTTGCATTCGTGTATGAGGAGGCGTGGCTTTGGAGGGCAGGGGAGGAGCTGTTTTTCAAAGACATTATGCTAACCGCATTTGGCAAATGCACCTTTAATGTTAAAAAGCACAGCTGTGGATGTTTATAATGCATTAGTAAATGTTGAACTACAGCTGCACTAGTATTGTTCATTATTAGTTCATGGCAGTAAATATACTAACTAATGGATACTTATTGTAAATAGGCATGGGCTGGTATAAGATTCTGCAAGTATGATACCCTTGGATAAAAATACCACGGTATCGCGATTACTACTCTACAATAAGATATTTTTTAAATGTCGGAGTAAAAACGTAAACTTTTTTTCACGTTTGAACACAATATATTTTATTTTGTGAAAGATTTAAAACGTTTTGGAGCAGTAAACATGTCAGGCTAAATAATCAAAATGAATCAATGACTTTTTAATTAGTTTTAAAATCACATATTTATATACATTTAAATGGCATCTTCGGATATTATTTCTGCTGGACATACTGTTGTCCTAAAGAAATTAACAATAACAATAAAATGTAAATAAAAATCTTACACGTGCCTTAGGACCGGTATTACAGAAGATTTTGGCGATTTTAAAACTTTCACTTTTCCAAACCGCGGTATACCATATAAACGGTTATCGCCCCATGCCTAATTGTAAAATATGAAGGATATTATGTACCGTCATCATGGCAAAGAGTAAAGAAATTATTTATTGAAACTCTTATGTTTAAAAATGTGCTCTCTCTTTTTTAAAACCCATTCAGAAGCCTTGATTAAATTCTTTAATTGATTAATGATTAAAAGCAGATTTTCTCCTCGGCTCTATATAGTGGGCTATATATGCGTCAGAGTGTGTTTTGGCTGGTCAGTGAGGCATTTGGCGAAGGCTTTAAGACATGGAGACATGATCTACTGTCACACACTTGTTAAACACTCAGATGGGTGTCAGGCTGTAAAATCAACACACACACACACACACACACACACACACACACACACACACACACACACACACACACACACACGCACACACACACACACACACACACACACAGAGAGAGAGAGAGACAGAGTGGTTTGTTTTTGTGAATTGTGGGGACATAATAATAATTAATAATATTTCGAAAAAAGGTGTCCACATGGAATTGAAGCAGATTTTAGTAAAAACCCAAACAATGAAAATAAAACAAAACAAGAAAAAATGTTAAAGATGAGTTGTGTAATAGCCATCAGATGACAGAAGGAGAAAGTACTGAACTACTAAACCTGTTTAATAATTTATATAAAAGGCTTTTTAGTGACGGCCGGTTAAAGATGCCTCTTAAATGGAGAATGAAGCCTCATGCATTGCTCTGAGTTTCAACAGTGTGTCTAAGTCTTGATGGTTCTCTATGTCTCGTTTATCAAATCTGAGCTTTATTCTGTATTTTCTATTGGATTCGGGTCAGGTGATTGGCTGGGCCATTCTACAGCTTGATTTTCTTTCTTTGAAAGCATCTGAGAGTCTCCTTGGCTGTGTTTTGGATCAGTGTCTTGCTGAAATGTCCACCCTGGGGTCATCTTCATTCTCTTGCTAATGTAGATGTTGGACACACAAAATGACACACACACACACACACACACACACACACACACACACACACACACACACACACACACACACACACACACACAATCATACGAAAACAAACACAACGAAAGCAGACACACGCACACTAACACAATCACAAAAACATACACATACACACAAAAGCACACACAAACACACGGACACACAATCACACGAAAACAAACACACCCACACTCTCATTTAAAATAGTATCAAGCTCTGTCCAGTGTGGGTCAGAAATATCCAGCAGCTGGTACTGTGTTACTGTTTCAGCTGCTCTTGGTGTGTGTGTGTCTGTGTCTCTGTATTTGTGTGTGTGTACGTGCGCGTGCGTGCGTGTGCATTCACAAGTATATATATTTTTGCGCATATATATACATATATATAATATATACACATATATACATACATATATATACATATATACATACATATATATACATATGACACATATATATTTTTTGTTTTGCAGTTTATGTGTGTATTTATACGTATACATTAATATACACAGTACACATACATATGTATTGCTGTATTTGAATACAAACCTTTATCTTGGATGCGATTAATCACTTGATGACACTAAAACACACACACACACGCATAAGATGTATAATTATCATGCTTCATCTTGAAGCATTTCTTAAGTGTATTTCTGTGAGTGGGGTGATGCAGTGGTGCAGTAGGTAGTGCTGT